CTTTTGTGAAATGCTGGCTTCCTGTGCAGCCATCATTTCAGACATATTTTGTGAGATCGCAGTCAATAACAGGTTCATGTCAATACCCTTAGATGAGCCAGAAGCCTTTTCTTGAATCTTGCTGGATGGTGATTCTAACTCCCTCACAGAATCATCAGCCTCTTCCTTATCAATGTCCTTCAAGGATGCATCTTCATCCTCGCGGTGGAACTCGTACTGGTTCAAGTCGATGCCTTCAAATTCCATTGCTTCTCGCAATCTCGATTGCAGCTCTGCCTTATTTCCAGTAGTCGACAATCCTCGCTTTGCCAACTCCCTCTTGAGAGGAGGTATCGATAAATCCTAAATCTTTACCATTATGCAAATATTATCCTTCGGGAATTATTTAACAATCCCACCTCTGACACCAATTGTTACGATTTTACTAAATCGACCTCGATTATTTTCCGAATCCTTCGGGTACGATCTCTGGATTGTTAAATAAAACTCGCCAACTTAATTTGCAGTTTCTTTCGTTATAAAGAATTAATCTAACGTCCTTTATTTACTCAGTAATTCGCAATTCAATTATAACGCACCTTACTATTTACAATCACTAGCACCAACTTTCACAATTTACTTTACTTAAACATAATGAATGAGATGTTTGATTGATAATCTTATTGACTTGTATGTATGTACATATGTATACACCTTACAAAATAATGGCCTGCCTCAAGAATTACATCCATATATGCATACATATGTATATATGTATGTACATTCATATACTCATATGCAAAAACATTTACACAGATAATTTGCGTGAAAACAAATTATTCCATCCCTCTAAATACCTCTCTTGTCTAAAAGCTCAGAACTTAAAATAAATACAACAATAAGATTTTTATTCAGAGACGCCTGCGTCCTGCAACAAATTTCTTGCGACTTTGACAAAAATTCAGACTTTGTCAGCATAATTGAAGCAAGTCGGCATCGTGCTGTTAAATTTGCTGTTTGCCTATTCGCACATATTGAAAAGCACGTAAATTCAAGTGGTCTGTCCGTCATATAAGCGGGGCAAAATGCAAAAATTCTAGATTTTAGGGATGAAGTGCGAATCCTAAGTAAGGCCAAAGATGGATTTAGAGGCGTGCTCGCGGACGCAAAGGAAAAAAGACGAATCCCTTCAGGATTTTCATTCTGTCTAGTGTATATATTGCTACGATTTTACTAAATCTACCTCGATTATTTTCCGAATCCTTCGGGTACGATCTCTGGATTGTTAAATAAAACTCACCAACTTAACTTGCAGTTTCTTTCGTTATAAAGAATTAATCTAATGTCCTTTATTTACTCAGTAATTCACAATTCAATTACAAGACACTTTACTAGCTACAATCACTTGCATCAACTTTCACAATTTACTTTACTTAAATGTAGTTCCAACGCGTTTACTTTCCGACTTTACTGATGTTCACGCCAACCAGTTCACTTTGTGTCCCCTTATATAGTAGTCGGCTGCTCCCAGACGAAAGCGTAGAAGCATCGATTTGTTCGCTATCGAAGGTTCTTGTTTAATCGTTTCTAGAATGTACTAGTTATCGGCTTCTCTCTTACATCTGACATTCGCCTCGCATTTTCGCAACAGTATGGTTGATCGATTCAACCTGACCCTGGAAGAGCACTTGCGGAAAGTAGTGGACAAGCATCAGGATGATTGGGATGTGCGAACACCGCTTTTCTTGATGGGATATCGGTTCGCCGTGCATGTAACTACAGGGCAAACACCCGCGAGGATACTGTTTGGTAGTGAACTACGATTGCCCAGCGATTTAAAATTTGGAATAACTGGCGATGCGAGAAGAATTGGGAAGGTAACGTCTACCGACCTCGAGGAAGAGCTAAGAGAGGTGCATGCTCTTGTATAGCCTATAACTATTACATTCTAGCACGATAAAACGATAACCTTCGATAGCGAACAACTCGATTATTCTACGCTTTCGTCTACTTGCAGTCGACTGCTATATAAGGACGACACTAAGCTGCAAAGTCAAGTCAGTTATAAAAATGAACTCGTTGTCGAGAACATCAGTGTAGAGTCGTCAAGTAAACGGGTTGGAGATTAAATTTAAGTAAAGTAAATTGTGCAAGTGATTGTAGCTAGCAAAATGCAAATTAAGTTGGCGATTTTCATTTAACAATCCAGAGATCGTACCCGAAGGATTCAGAAAATCATCTAGGTTCATTTAGTAAAATCGTAACAATATAAAACAACTACAGACATATTCTGTCGAGGTAAAAAATTTACTTCGGTATTTAAATTAATCATTCAGAAAATTTTGTTACTATTTCGTATTCTGAGTTCACTGTCACCCTGTAAATTTTTTTACCAGCGTTTGGATGATTTGTGTTGTTAGTTTGAGACAAAATAAAAACCAAAATGCGCAGGCATATTTTAGGCTTGGAATTCATTGCAGATAACGAAAGAAGTGTAAAGAACAAATGACCCTTTTAATATGGAAGATAGCGTTTTCATTCACGGTTCTCTTGTCGTTTAGGCATATTTTCCAAAATTAGTTTCAAATAATTATGATTAATAAACACATAAATAAAACTTATTTAATTTGTGGTGCACCGTCTTTCATTTCGATGTGAATATCATTCTTTTTTTTTATAACAACTGGCAAATGTAATTCGCCTGCTGCCCAAGTTTTTCCAAACATTGTAACCAGTTCCCCAGAATACCAAATTCAATTTCAAGTGTTAAAAATAAGTATCAATATTTACTTTATTCGTAACAGTGAGAATAGGCATGCTAGAGTACAATTTAACACTGGCTTCGCCTTGCACAATTTAAGCGAAACTCCTTTTGTAAGTTGGCGGCCTTCGGCCACGCTTCTGATTGTAACCCTGGGTCGGACCAACACCGGCTTCGCTTTGCACAGTATTTTTGAGCGACACTTTTATTTTAATTTTGAGGTGATATGGCAACACACCCTTATTGCCATTATCAGATATTTCTCTTGGAAACCGTTTCGAAATAATATACAAAATCAAAACATTACTTTACTGCTAACCAAATGAAATATAAATACAACTATTTTTATAATCGCGTGTGAACAGATTAAAGTTACTATTTTGGATAGTGTGTGTTAAAGAAGTGAACGTAAGTAAAAATTTGTGATGAAAGTGTAAATTTTTAACATCCAATTATTTATAATTTGACAGCATTTATGTGTAAAATATAATACACAGACATATATTAGATCAACAGCAACAACTCTTGCGAATCTCATAAGGATTGGTCAATTAGTTTGGCTGAAACAAGAATCGGAACCGTAAAAGAAAACACGGCCTGGCGCACCCTCACGAAATAGATGATTGCTGCGAAAACTTCACTGTCAAAAGTTTTTTCTAAGTTTGGTTTACACACGGCAAGGGGACACGTCTCACGTACACGTCTATGAATGAATTTACTATAAATTATGTGAATTCGCTTTGGTGTACACCGAATTGAAGAACAAATTTGGGCTTATTTTACTCAGTTCTGCAAAATTTTCTTTGGTGTGTAGACAAAATTGGTGACTCATTCGTGTTGGTTTTCGTATGTAAGCACTTAAATATTACAAATATACGCCGTTTTCGGCTTCTTTTATATTATTAAACATATTAATTTATTTTAAAGGTGCATATGTGTGATAAAAACTGAACAATTATCACTTGATAAATAAATGTATATTTCTCTGTGGAAAAGTGGCATTAACGGATAAATATAAGCATTTAATCACTTTATCTGTAAAATGAAGGTTCTTTCTAAGTTTACAATATATCTTTGGTTTCACACGCAGTACAATTACTCAAGTTCGGAGCGTCGTCAAAGTGTCATATTTGCAACATGAGTGTGTTTTCGTTTAAATTTTTATCGGCTTTCTTTAATAGTAGTTTCAGTCACAGGCTTACGTATGGGAAAAATTTTAGTTTTTGAGTAACTCTATTTTAAAGTTAGCATGATATATATAAAATAAGATCCGAATTGTGAAAACATACATCGCTGAGTAAGTTAATATTACATCTGAAAATAATAAATTCATTTGTAAAGCGAGCAACCTTTGTTTTGGTGTGGAAGGTCTACAAAACATAAATATAGATATAATCGCGCGCAGTTATATAAACATTTATAAAATTATTCAGCCGCAGGCTTTTGTAAATAATTTTTGGTATTTATTTAGGACAGCGGCTTTGCTAAAACTGTCCAAAAATGATGGGGTTCTTGGCTAAGTAGATGTATTTGATGATTATCTTTGAATTTTGTAATAGTTTTATTATTATTAACATTTAAAGTGACACTAAAATGACTAGCACACACATTACAAACAAATGCATGGCTAATTCGATGTTGCCATATCTTACTTAAAAAAGAGTAATGAACAAGACAAAGTATGGCGAAAGCTACGTTGCCATACTGTGTAAGAAACTTAAAAAAGAGCAATAAATAAGGCGGAGCAGCAGTGCAATTCTGTAACTTTTATCGACACGATTTGTCGGATCGCAAAGTTACGAATTTTGTCGCTTGCGCTAACGATTATGCGATTCTCTAACGCAGTTGTTACGATGATCGACATCGCACATTTCCATTTTATTAAAATGTAGGAAAGGTGGCACCACAGCTCAACGAAACGTCAAAATGTACAAAAAGCACAAAGAGGAATGACAAAAACAAATAAATTTGTTATTGAAATTATTTTTATTAAAAGAATAGCAATGCATTACATGTTATGGTTTGCACTTTCATGCATGACCCTTCGCTCTATAGGGGAGCTCCAAATAAAATAATTGTGCCGCGCTCTTGGGCACTTGGCATTTGCCAGTATAATCTTGCGATAAGGACCACATATCTATGTGAAAATATAATTAACTTTGTTACTACAATAGTAATCGGAAACAAATTTACTCTCACCATTTGCACATTGATGGAATGGTATCCATGGTGGTTTGTATACGCTTCTTCATGATTTTTGGGACTCATGTGTAATCGATAGCTCCAATAGTGCCACCAACAAGTGGTGACGATGACGAAACAAAAATTTGGAAAACAAACAGAAAACCTCGAACGGTTGATTGCGTCTGTTACGCGATGAATACAACAGTTTACTGACGACTGACTCATGGACATCCCCATCGCAAAAAAATCGCGAGGCGGCTAGGACCTTCAAACATTTTAATAGTGTTAAGACTAAAAAAAATATTGAAAAAATATATTATTACCTGTTTCTCCGTAGACAATGCTGTTATTCTTCTTCCTTTTAGTTGACAATATAGTTCAGAAACGATTTCTTCAACTAAATCCGGCGAAACTCGGTAGCATCCAAATGAAAAGGATCTTCCGCTTCTCGACGCAAACTTCTATCCAATGGGTAGGATACCTCTTCATCTTGTGATAAATCCTATGCCAAATATTCAAAAGCCATTTATTTTATTATTTTATTTTTATTTTTGTATTACTTAGACACTTTACTCTCTTATATGAAGTAACAAAATTTTGTCGATATCGCTAACAACTTAAAAATATTCGTCGCTTAGTTAGCGATTTTTCGTGTAGTTTACGACAACAGCGAGAGCGAATATCGTTAAAACAAGTACACCGAATATTAAAATCGTTAGAATTATCGCTAAGTCTTCTTTGCGATCCGAAAATCGTTATACTATTTTTAGAGAATAGCGAATATCGTTAAAAATATCGTTAAGTCTTCTTTGCGATCCGAAAATCGTTATACCATTTTAGAGAATAGCGAATATCGTTAAAAATATCGTTAAGTCTTCTTTGCGATCCGAAAATCGTTATACTATTCTTAGAGGATAGCGAATATCGTTAAGTCTTCTTTGCGATTCGAAAATCGTTATACCATTTTAGAGAATAGCGAATATCGTTAAAAATGTCGCTAAGTCTAATTTGCGATCCGAAAATCGTTATACTGTGCTTAGAGAATAGCAAAATCGTTAAAATTATCGTTAAGTCATTATAACGACCCGAAAATCGTTATAATACGATAGGGAATTGCCCTGCAGGTGTGGGTCCTGCATTGATAGTTTTCGATTTATTGAAACGAATATAAGCCAAAATTCATAACATGAATAAAAAAGAAAATTCATATTGGCTTGCATGTAAAATAACATATAAATTAAACAGTATTTTTCATAAAGACATTTCATTTAAAAATACTGTGCAAGGATAAGCCGCACTTAATCCGGCCCAGGGTTACAATCCAAAGCGCGGCCGAAGGCCCCCAGCTTACAAAGGAGTTTCACTTGAGAGTACTGTGCAAGGCGAAGCCGGTGTTGGTCCGGCCTAGGGTTACAAGCCAAAGCGCGACTGTACGACCCGAAAAAAAATGACATGAATGAAAAGTTTATTTATTATAAAAATATGTGAAGGTCATGCGCTTTCGATTTTGTATCTGTATGTAAATATGTAAATAATATGAATCTTCGTTTTGGTAAATGTATGTTAATATGTAAGCATCATGAATTTTCGCTTATGTTCGTTTCAGTAAATCGAAAAACAAACTATGCCGGGCCAACACTTGCTCCGCCATATTTATTGCTCTTTTTAAGTTTCTTACACATTATGAATGACTACGTCGCTTTCGCCATACTTTGTTTTTTATGGCAACATCCCTTTAGCCATGTATTTGTTTGTAATATGTGTGCTAGTGATTTTAGTGTAACTTTAAATGTTAATAATAATAAAACTATTGCAAAATTCAGCTTTCCCCCACATTTAATGAAAAGATAATCATCAAATACATCTATTTAGCCAAAAACCCCATCATTTTTGGACAGTTTTAGCAAAACCCGCTGTCCTAAATAATTACCAAAAATTATTTACAAAAGCCTGCGGTCCTGCCAGACTAATAACTAAAATCATACTTTAGTATACAGCCTGTTTGTTTGTATTTTGACTCGGCAGGCGAAGCCACACAGTAAAAAAATCATAATTTAAGAATAAATTTGCAGAAAAAAATTAAAATTTTGTTAAAATATTAAAATGTTTTTCACTTAAAAAGTCTAATTCAAGTGAAACTCCTTAGTAAGTTCGCGGCCTTTGACCTCGATTTGGATTGTAGCCCATGGCCGGAGCAACACCGCTTTCACCTTGCACCTGACTATTTCATAAAGATAAACCTCAGGTTCAGCTAAAGTTATTCCAACATATTTTTGGGAAAATTTTTGTTTAGAGCCACAGGCTTTCGCAAATAAATTTTATATGGATGGAAAGAGGAAAAATAATAGATTCTAAAACTAATTTTCTTTTCTTTAGCTGTTTTATAGTTTTTTAATAATTCTATTTTAAATTTTGAGTAATAAATGCAAAATTACGTCTACATTATAGTTGCCGGACTACTAAGTAAAATAATATTAAAGTACAGAGCCTGTTTGTTTGTATTTTGGCTAGGCAGGCGTAGCCACTCAGTATAAAGGTTTATAAATTAAGGATAAATATGCAGGAAAATATAATAAAAAAATTGTTTAAAAAAATAAAATGTTATTCACTTAAAAATTTTAAGTTAAGTAAAACTGCTTTGTAAATTGGCGGCCTTCGGCCGCGCTTTGGATTGTAACCCTGAGCCGAACCAACACCGGCTTCGCCTTGCACAGTATTCTTAAGCGAAACTGCTTTGTAAATTGGCGGCCTTCGGCCGCGCTTTGGATTGTAACCCTGGGCCGAATCAACACCGGCTTCGCCTTGCACAGTATTCTTAAGTGAAACTCCTTTGTAAATTGGCGGCCTTCTGCCGCGCTTTGGATTGTAACCCTGGACCGGACCGACACCGGCTTCGCCTTGCACAGTATTCTTAATTGAAACTCCTTTGTAAATTGGCGGCCTTCGGCCGCGCTTTGGATTGTAACCCTGGGCCGGACCAACACCGGCTTCGCTTTGCACAGTATTCTTAAGTGAAACTCCTTTGTAAATTGGCGGCCTTCGGCCGCGCTTTGGATTATAACCCTAGGCCGCCCCAACACCGGCTTCGCCTTGCATAGTATTCCTAAGTGAAACTCTTCTAAGAAAAATATTTGAGAAAATCCTTAAGTAAAAATAAAACAAATTGTAATTATGGCTTATAGGTGTGTTTTATTGCATTAATAAGTTGTAGAAATGGATCTTTATGGCGCCTACTTATATTTCTAAGCCACAAATATTCAACCACAATCTCAGCAAATATGGCTGGGTTATTGTAGTTATCTTTAACAAAGTACCTTTTAATTACACGCCACTGCGACTCAATTCTTTGAGTGTGTGTCCCATCCGGCGCTACAAACGGATTCTCCGGATCGCTGTGGTTTACTTTCCGGTGCACATACCCGTAATCCTTCAAGCAGTCGTAGGCTTTCCAACAATCCGCATGCTTGCGGATTAGAGGGATGAGCACCTCTGCAGACCGAGCGTTATCCGGACACACTTCAAGACGTATGTCCTCACTAACATCTTCAACCATGCCAAGGACCCAATGACCGTCAACCCTCCTCCCTGTAAAGTAATAAATGCATAATTATTATGTAATTCTAAAAACATATAAAAAATTTAATTTACCTTTATTAAATTTTCTTTTTCCAAATTTAGACTCGTCGATTTGGACGACTTTCCCCGGACCACCAATTTTACCAACAAAATGCTGTAAATCGATTTCATATAAAACTACCGCCTCCCTACAGTAGTTATACCAATCAGTAATTGTCACACTTGACAATGTGGTTCCTTTATAGGGGTTTTCAAGCCTTACGGCTGCTTGCGACCAATGGTGGGCAAATCCATATATTATATCAAAGATTAGCGGCAGTGATATCTTGGCATTTTCGAACCATTTGTTGGTGGCCCGGGAAACTCTTGCCTTTGTGCGGCAGCTGCCTTTGCTGCACCTAAATGAGCCCACTGTTTCGTTGCCGGCATCACTCACCGACATGTAGCTTTTGTGAACTGGACACAATTTAGATTTTAATATAAGTCCCATATCTTCGGTAAACTTAACACATTGTTCCCTTGTGCCGAACTCTAAATATACGCGTACATGATTCCACATAGTCGCTATCTCTGCTGCAGTCAGC